CAGCCCCCCGCCCCCGGGGCCCCATGGGCTGGGCTGGGCGCGGTGCTGCTGGGCGCACGCAGTCGGAGGCGGCGCCGGCCAGGCCGCCGGGCGCCTATGGACGCGCGGAGCCCGCTGTCTCCTCGGGCCAGCGCGTTCAGCATCGCCTCTCTGGTTGCAGCCGAGGCCGCTGAGCGCACCGCCCACCGGGGCCCCGGGTCCTCCGACAGCACGAAGCTTCACCGGTTGCCAGAATCCCGGGTCGGGATGCACTTCAGCACCGTCACCAGGGACATGGAAGGTGAGCCTCCAGGCCGCGTCTACACTGGCCCACCCGTCCACCACCAGATCCCCAGCCGGGCCGCTGTGGTGCCTAGGGCAGAGGAGGTGGAGGGTGCTCTAGGCTCCAGGCTGCGACTCCTGGGACAGACAGGAAGAGCTGGGATCCCGCCCAAAGCCTGTCCACCCACCAGCCCGAGGGCCCAGCTTCGGAGGGAGACCGGAGGGCAGCAGCGGGGGCGCTTGGCGAGGTGGGAGAAAGCTGGGGCGGGGGTGGGGGGGTGGAGAGGAGAGCGCCAGCGTCGGGAAATGCAAGAACGCGGGGAGGAAACGGACTTGAGAGGAGAGAAAAACCCAGAAGGAGTAGGGAAAAAGAAAAGAAACGCACAGAGAGAAAGAAAGAGCGTAAGAACGAAAGAGAAGCGAGAACGTGCAGGGGCATTTCAAGGCAAAGGAAATTCGTCAAAAAGAAAAAGCCGTCCATTTTTTTTGTTTTATAAAAACAAGGAGAAACGCATGCATAGGAGAGAAAGCGATATAGAAGTTAAAAGAGAAGGGGCAGGCTGAGAGACAAAGGCTGGTGAAAAACACAGTGGAAAGAAAGGGCCTGGACATAGGTAAAAAATATATATATATAAATAAATAAATCAGGAGCGGCAGAAAGACAGAAATAAAGAGAAACTGCAGGAATTTCGGAAGGCGAGGTGACTAGGAGGGAAAATTTAAATGAGACACACAAAGGTAAAGAAATAACGAATTGGAAAAAGGCAGCCTGGGAG